AAAAGTCCTCCTTTTTCTGTTGGTTCACTCCCCAAATGGCCGCTACGGCTGGCGCGCTGCGCCAATCCGAAGCCAGGAGCCAGGTGCCTCCTCCTGGTCTCCCATGAGGGTGCAGGGCCCAAGCACTTGGGCCATCCTCCACTGCCTTCCCAGGCCACAGCAGAGAGGTGGACTGGAAGAGGAGCAACTGGGACAGAATCTGGCACCCCAACCGGGACTAGAACCGGTGTGCCAGCGCCGCAGGCGGAGGATTAGCCTAGTGAGCCGTGGCGCCGGCAAAATTCAACATCTTATCTCATGTGAAAGTCAGTCAAAACACAAGTGTGATAAAAATATTGTATAAAATTGGGGTGGGCATTTGGCCTATCAGTTGTGATGTCAGTGAAGATACCTGCATCCCATATCCAAGTACCTGGGTTCAGTATCTAGCCAGTGTAGACCCAGGGAGGCAGTGATGATGACTAAAGTAATTAGGTTCCTACCACCCACATGGGAGACTTGGATTGAGTTCCCAGCAATTTGATTTCTGTCTCAGCCCAGAGCCAGCCTTTGGGAGCATCTGAGAAGTGAACCAGCAAATGGGAGTGCACTCTCTCTGCTCCCCAAATAGTATAAAATTACTTTCAACTATATGTTTAAGGTGTATATGAAACATAAATGAATTTAATATTTAGACTTGGGTCCCATCCCAAGATATATCATCATGAATATGCAAATATTCCAAAATCCAAAAAAAGTGTGAAACCCAAAGTACTTCTGTTCCCAAGCATTTCAATAAGGGATATTTAGCCTGTAATATGATCTCTACCTGGACAGGGAAGAAAATCAATCAAAAAACAAAAGAATTATAAAGTGACTTCAGTAGGAAGCTGGATGCTAGTCAGAGGGCTTCTTAGCAGCTGGTCAGAAACTGGGTGACAGATCAGCTCTATCAGGTCCCTTCTGTCACAGACCATGAAAAAGAAACATTTATTCCACACTTGGAGGTTTTTTTCCCTGCAAGTTATGCCTCGGACTATTTCACATCCCTGGAATTACTGTCTTTGCGTAGCATGGAGTGGCCCTGGCAAAATTTTCTCCAACCAAGAAATTTACTTTTTGATGAAAGATGACAGTCGATCAGCCATGGGCCATTCTCACATTTTGCATCCAGCGGAAGCAGCTGGCCTTATAGAATAATGAAATGGCCTACCGAAAACAGATCTAGCATATTAGAAAACCACACCTGTGTCTCTGTCTCTGTGTCGCTGTGTCTCTGTGTCTGTGTCGCTGATAGCGATCAGTGATCCAAACAGTAGCTGACATGCAGCGCCAGTTCTCCCCCAGCCAGTCTGCATGTCCAGAAAACCAGGGTTGAGGTTGGGAGAGTGGCAGCTCTGACTTAAGACTTTTCTTCTAAAATGATTTGCTTTCCATTTCCCAAGTCATTCACACTCTGTGGACTTAACTGCCCAAGGGCAAGGTGTTCTCCCCAGGGAACCCAACAAAGGTTGTATCTGCCCTTATGGAATTCCTCTTGCCACTGGGGCAATGGCAGAAAAGGGTGCCCCATGCTAGCTGGGCCCCCTCTGATTATGTAGGGGAAATAGAGTTGTTACTCCCTGGTACAGCCTGGGTGGAGTAGAGGAGGGAGTAGGATGAGCTCCAGGTTTGTCTTCTCAGACCACACCCAGTAGCACAAATAAACAGAAAACCACCACAGTCTATGCATACATTCTAATTTTTTTCACTCACTATTGGTGGTATCTAACTTTACAAATTTACTCAAGATTTTAAGTTGGTAGGAAGTAACCACTGGCTAATGAGAAACTATAGCAGGAATGGGCAGCCCTTGGCAATGATGAACTCTGCCATTCAGATGGCATGTTTAAAGTGTGCTACAATGTCCAATCTGCATATTTGGATGTGACCTTTCTTTTTTGAAAGGGAGGGAGGCAAAGAGGGAGTGAGAGATGAAGAGAAAGATTGATTCCATCCACTGGTTCACTCCCCAAATGCCAGGGTTGAGCCAGACTGAAACAAAGAGCCTGGAACTCCACGCAGCTCCTCCATGTAAGTGACAGGGTCCTAGGCACTTAAGTCATCATCTGCTGCCTCCCAGGGTGCATTAGCAGGAAGCTAGTTAAGAAGTGGAGCAGAATGGGACTCAAACTGGCACTCTGATATGGTGGCTTAATCCTCTGGGCCACAATGCCCACTCCTTAGGGATGTTGAAGTGCATTTGTGGTGGTGATAACAGGAGAAGTGGGATAAAGTACACACCGGGGTGTTCCAGGTTTATGTCTTGCTTCTGCTCTATATCTACCTGCTCCACCTGAGCAACTTCATCAGTGCCATAGTTGTAGGTAGTTCCTATGCTGATGGCCCATAAGCCTATATTTCCAGCTCTGGCCTCCCTTAGAAATCCAGATCATGCATCCCCCTGCCTACTAGATCAACCCTTTAGAAGTTTCACACAGATCTCAAATCAACATACCCAAAGCAAAATGACTGATTTCTGGCTCTCGATTTCCCTTAATCTGCTCCTCCTTCGGTCTTTTTTTTTTTTTTTTTATAAATGGAACCTGTAGCTCAAAACAAAAATCTAGAGCTACCCTTTCCAATAAGATAGCCACTAACCACATGTGTCTATTTTTAAATTTTAGCAAACAGAACAGAATTAAATTTCACTTCTTCAGTTTTACCAGTCAACGGCCACATGTAGCTAGCATTTTGGACAGTCAGATTCAGGACATTTCTATCACCATGGAAAGTTCTATTGGTCAGAACTTCTCAAGAGAAGTTGCCATTGGTTCTTGTTTCTCTCACTTTTCACATCTAATCCACTAAAAATGTCTTAGGGGATGGGTATCTGGCCATCTTGGAATGTCTCTTGGGACACCAGCAGCCTACAACAGAGTGCCTGGATTCTAACCCCAGAATTCCAGCTCCTGATTCCAGCTTCCTGCTGATGGACCCTGGGAGAGAATAGTAATGGCTCACGTACTTGAGCCCCTGCCAAGGGAGACCTGGACTTGGTTCTTGGCTCCAGGCTTCCAAAAAAAGAGGAGGCTCTTCCTGCTGCTGTAACAGGCTTGATGGCTGAAACTGGACTAGATCCCAAAGTAAACTTGGGAGCAAAGGTAATGCACTATGCAGCCACAAGAAAGGAGGAGCCTGAGTCCCCGGCACAGCTGAGGGTTTTCCAGGAGAGCGGGACCTATTTTTTTTTTTTTTAAGATTTATTTATTTGTTTGAAAGTCAGAGTCAACAGAGAGAATGGGAGTGAGGCAGAGATCTTCCATTCACCAGTGCCAGAAGCTTCTTTCAAGTCTCCCACATGGGTGGCAGGGGCTCAAACACTTGGGTCATCTGCTGCTGCTTCCCCCAGGCCATCAGCAGGGAGCTGGATCAGAAATAGAGCAGCCGAGACTGGAACCAGCGCCCATATGGGATGCTGGCATCACAGGCATTTACTTGCTGTGCCACAATGCCAGGAGCAAATGGGACCTAATTCTAGCGAATATAGTTTCCTCTTACTGTTATTGTTAGAAAAAAAAATCAGACTACCAAAGTCGGAAAGGTTCCACATGACCTGACTTGACCCCACCCACTAGAATCCCCCATAACATGCACTCCCCCTTACCATGCTTGTAGTCATTCCAGCTATCGGTGCTGATTCTGCGAACCAAGCTGCTTGTCAGGTGGGCGGGAGCAGGCATCTTCAGACCTCCTCACTGCTGACCGCTTTTGGTTGGTCAAGTCTCACTTAAAAGTCACGGTTCCGGGTACTCTAAAGTCCCCAGCAAGCCATTCCTTTCTCCAAGACCTTAAGTTAATTCTACGCATAGAATGGTTCACTAAATGATGACGCATTTCCACAGTGTCTGCCCCAGACACTAGGCTGTACGCTCCGCAGGTTTGGGATTTTGTTTGGTTGGTTCACTGCTGTATTTCGTTATCTAGAACGTGCCTGGAACCTAGCAGACACTCAATCAACCGTTTGTCATCTGAAGAATCAAAAAACCGTCCCAACTAACCTAAACATGGTGGTTCAAAGCGGGATTTCAGGGCCGGCGCTGTGGCATAGAGGGCTAAGCCTCTGCCTGAGGCAACGGTATCTCATATGGGCGCCAGTTCCAGTCCCGGCTGCTCCACTTCCGATCCAGCTCTCTGCTATGGCCTGGGAAAGCGGCAGAAGATGGCCCCAAGTGCTTGGGCCCCTGCACCCACGTGGGAGACCAGGAAGAAGCTCCTGGCTCTTGGCTTTGGATCTGCAGTCATTTGGGGAGTGAACCAGCGGATGGAAGACCTCTCTCCGTCTCTCCCTCTCTGTAACTACTTCTCAAAATTTTTTTAATCTTTAAAAAGAAAAGATTTGGGGGGAAGAGCAAGGTTTCTGAAGTTAGAGGACACAGATTCAAATCCTGACTGGGCCACACACCTGCCGTGTGATCCATCACCCAAGAGTATAAAAATGAGAAGTCCACCTATGGCATAAAGTAGGAGTAAATAAATTTTTATAAAGCACAGTCTCTCCCTTCTTTAGCGTGCGAGTTCTTTTCTCTCCACCTCTTCCCCTCAGCCCCTCTAGGGCCACTGCACTTCTGCTTTGCCTGTTGCTCCTCAGGCTTTGAAATTTGGCGGGAATGACCGTCATCCGTCCGGAAGGTGAGAGATGCGCATGCGCGTGACACCCCTTCTGTCTCGCGCGCTAACTTTGCAGCCAAGACAGCCAATCAGAATTAGCACAGAAGCCCGAATGCCGGGGACTCACCAATCAAAACTGGGAGGCGGGCCGCAGTGCAGGCAGTGGCGCGAGAGGGCGGGGACAAGGACCGAGCACGCACAATTCTCGAAGCCGGAGTCTCTGCCCGCCAATGGGAGAGGCCTGAGGCCAGACGGCGGTGGGCGTGGCCTTGGCGGCTCCGGCAACCGGAGGCCGTTCCAGAGCAAGCCAATGAGAGCGCGGAGGTGGGAGAAGACTAGCCAATCAGCGTGCAGGACAGGCGAGGCCGGGGGTGGCTGAGTCTCGCGCGGACGCCGCCGGCTCGCAGCTTCTGTCAGGAGAGCCGGGCGTGCGAAGGCGGCGGAGGAGGCGGGAAGGCGGCAGTAGTTGAAGGGGCGATTGCTGACTTGCGGAGAGGAGGGCCGAGAAGTGGGCAGCGATGGTGATGGCGGCGAAGAAGGGCCCGGGTCCGGGTGGCGGGGTCGGCGCGGGGAAAGCGGAGGCGGAGGCTGCCTCGGAGGTGTGGTGCCGCCGAGTGCGGGAGCTGGGCGGCTGCAGCCAGGCCGGGAACCGCCACTGCTTCGAGTGCGCCCAGCGCGGGGTCACCTACGTGGACATCACCGTGGGCAGTTTCGTCTGCACCACCTGCTCCGGCCTCCTGTGAGTGGACCAGCGCTGGGGAGGGAGGGAGAGGGGGTCGGAGAGCGGCATGGGGGGCGCGGGCTCGAGCCCGTGCGGGAGGTGGTGGGGAGGCCCCGGGACGCGCGGGAGTCCGCTGCAGCGGTGTCGCGGGGGGGAACAGGCAGGCAGAGCAGAGGCGGCTGGAAGTCGCGTTGCGGAGGAAGAGTGGGGGTGAGGAAGGACACCGGAGGGGAAGGGAGAAACTCCCTGAGGGAGATGGGGAGAACTGCAAGTAGGGAGCGAGAAAGTGTGGAGAATCGAAAAGAACGCGGCGTGGGGGGTGGGGGTGGAGTTAAAGGGCCAGCAAATGACGCGGATCTTTAAAGGGAGCTTCATGTAGGTGGAAGGCGAAAGGGAAAGAGGTCGAGAAAGCTGGGCCCAAGGTGAAGAAGTCCCTTTCTTCCTTCTTGTTTGTGGCCCTCCTGGCGTGTGAAACGTAGAAACCGATTGGAAATGAGTGAGTTGAGCCAGGATGCCAGCCTACAGATAGTGGCAGGGAAGGAGGAGGCATGGCCCAGCGCGAAGATCCTAATCTTGCAGGGCTTTGGAATGCTACCCAGAGGATAGATTTCTTAGATCCTTGAGGAGAGAGCTGATGGGTTCCCCTGGCAGATCACGTAACTTTTCCAAAGGTGTGCAGATCTGAGCGAGCCATGCTAATGTGTGGTCATGTACACACCTTTAAGCTCACTGTTGCCCTGGCTGGATCCTGGTGGTAAACTCTTTCTAGATTCTGGCTGGGGGGCGGGGAGAGGTGATTTGTTGTATAATCTGCAGTGCTACACTTGGCACCAACACTGTATTTGTCATGACCGAGCTAACTTACAACCACAGTTCTAACCCACATTTCTTGTTACATAGTAAGGTTCTTCCCCCTCCCCCCACCCTTAGGTAATTATTTGATTAGATGCATGATTAACATCTGATACTAGGACTAGATCTTTGCTTTTTATCAATGGATTTATTCAGGCTTTTTTATGACTATTAATTTCTTTTTTTAACAAAGAAAGCTTTCCTTGTTCTTATACCTTTAGGGGCCAAGGAAGGAGCAGTGTTGTTTTTGCATGGCAGATGGAAGAACAGAAGCAAAGAGTGGTTTAGTAACTTGCCCAATGCCATATGGGGGTTGCTGTTCTCAGCATTTGTTGTTTGATATTAGCTGTGATCAAGGCAGACCAGAAATGAGGACCCAGGACTCCTCAGTTACAGTTTGAAATTCTCTTCCCTGCTCAGTTTTTACCTCCTTTGCCAAACTTCTCTATATATTCTGATCAGCCTCGCTTATGTATTGTGAGCGTGAACTGGATTTGGGCCTCAGTAAAAGTCACTGTGGCTCTTGGAACTATGATTTAGAACATAGACAGGAATGCTGTCACAAGTTGCGATAGAAATGCAAATCAAGCAAGAGCGTGGAGAGGTGAGACTGGGACCAGCACTTTGTGGAGAGGTATGGGAACGTTGAGGAGTATTTATAATGTAAAGTACAATGACACGGAGCAGATTCCTCAAGATCCTGTTATGAAAAGAGAAATCTGACTACAGAGTCTGGAGAAGGAGGCAGCGGAGAAAATGCATGGTCTGTCTGAGCTAGGTTCTAGGAGAAAAATGTTAGGAAACTGTGTTACTTCATTCCCGTTGCTGGTGGCATGGAAGATAAAACTGAATAAATGGGAAGTGCTGGCCTCGTTATTATTTTCTAGATCTTGGTTTACAGTACCCCATAAATAACATTTCCCTTCTATAATGAATATTCCTAAATCAGGACAGAAGGAAGGCCAAGGGATCTGGGACACATTAAAAGCCTGGTTTCTTTCTTTCTTTCTTTCTTTTTTTTTTGGACAGGCAGAGTGGGCAGTGAGAGAGGTCTTCCTTTTTCCATTGGTTCACCCCTCAATGGCCGCTGATCCGAAGCCAGGAGCCAGATTCTCCTGGTCTCCCATGCGGGTGCAGGGCCCAAGCACTTGGGCCATCCTCCACTGCACTCCCGGGCCACAGCAGAGAGCTGGACAGGAAGAGGAGCAACCAGAACAGAATCCAGCGCCCTGACCGGGACTAGAACCCGGTGTGCCGGCGCTACAAGGTGGAGGATTAGCCTAGTGAGCCACGCTCCACCAAAAACCTGGTTTCTTTTGCCAGGAAAGTTAACTCGCTTAGTATCAGTGCACACTGCAATACCTTACCACTTTTTCCTGTGACCACTATTACTGGTCTCAGTTGTGATAAGTCAGACACCTGGGATCTGGGTAGACCCTGAACAGAGGTAGCAATGGCCTAAGGACTGATTAGCTGCTAAGTAGAGAAGTACCACCCAGATGCCTGTCTTTGTCTGGGATGTGTTTACATCAAACTGGGTGGGGGCTTAATTCCCTGGGAACTTAAATTTTCATGGGACCAAGTAGGAGGAATCAATCAGCCCTTCCCTTGTTGAAAGAAATTCTAGAAAGGACATTTTTGCTTAGAATGTTGGTAGTACATTGTGAAAATTACTCAGGGAGTGATTTTTGAGGTGACAGACTTGAGGGGATGTATTTTGATGGTTTAGAAGTGAGACGCTCAGCCAACCCTTTGCTAGCCAGAAGTGAGAGGAGAGTAAGAGGCCAGGCCAGTAAATGAAGCAGAGCTGAAGGCACATTGAGACCATAAGGAGAAAAACATCAGGAGAAACTCTGCAAGACAGCTAAGGTTTCCCTGGCCCTGGTCGTCTGCCTAGGTTCTGCTGGTGCTTTGTTAATTGGAGTTCCAATTAGCATGGACTAGACCAAGGCATGTGTCCTTTTTAAAGAGGCCTTAGCAAAGTATGGCCTGTATCCCTTTGATGTGCTGTGGGAAGGACTCAGAGCTGGTCTGTGAGGCAGGGGATCTTGCTGCTTGCTGCAGAGTGAGGAGAGAACACACTCCTTCCAGCAAACAGTGGAGAGGTGTGCTCCCTGGAAGCACACGGACCATTTAGCGTCTTAAAGCCAGAAGCTTGATTGCACAAAGATTAGGATTTGATGGAGGTAGGAAGTAAAAGTTATGGTAAGCAGCCTACGCGTTCAGTGAATCAGTGAACTGCTTCATACTAAGTTCCCAGCAAGCCCCAACCACTATTCTGAACACTGGAGATAGGGTATGGACAAAATCCCCATCTTCGTATAGCTCCTTCCTAGTAGACGCCATGGGCCACAGATAAATTCTTCTGTCTGTGATTGTAGGTAATATTAGAAATGCTGTGAAGTAAATAAAGCTTCATGTGGGCTGGAGAGTCATTGAGGTTTGATGCAAGGAAAGAAATATTCCTTGTTAAAATGAAGAGGGTATTGAAGGGGATTTGAAATGCCACGCTTGGCACCGTAGCCAGGGAAAGGAGACTTCAAGACTGGCTTTATTTTAAAGGCCAGATTTCTGTTGACTGTTACAAATATGTGTACTTCTTAGGGGGTGGAGTCCTCTGGGGGCAGTGAGCAGAACGACAAGAGCTCCCAGCTGGCTGGATTGGCTGGGGGAGCAAAGTCGACTGTTGCAGCCAAAGCTAAATTTCCTAAGGTCTGCAGACAAATTCACATTTTCATCTTGGGGGAGTGGGCATGACTATGCCTTCGTTGCTGTGTGTATGAGCTCATTCCTGCTCTCTTTTTAAATGAGAAATATTTTCTCAGCTGTAGCAAAAAACCTCAGTGTTATGTGAGGGCCCGAGAGAAAGGCTGCTGGTTTCTGCTGTTGCTAAATTTGCATCCATACTGCCACAATTTTAGGGCCCAAATTTGCCCTAGTTTTATTCATTTGGTTTTCTTCCAATACCTAATTGACTTAACCTGGATATATAGCTCCTTTTCATTTCTCCTTCTTGTACACATGCCTGCTTGTTTATGTTTCTGGCTCCACTACCAGAGGGTGAACCTGCCATTTGAAGCTTAAGATGAAGTTTAAAAAAAAATGCCACCAAGAAAACATCTATTCTAAGCATTGCCACAAATGTTCTTTCTTGCTCTGGTTTGCCTGAGTCCCTCTATAGATAAACCACTTCTCTTTAGAAATAAGTGGACATTGAGGCCTGAGACCTCATTGACATCAGAGATGGGCATTTACATTGACACCTAGTTTTTTGGGTTTTTTTTTGGTGGTTTTTTTTTTTTTTTTTTTTTTTTTTTTTTTTTTTTTGACAGGCAGAGTTAGACAGTGAGAGAGAGAGAGACAGAGAGAAAGGTCTTCCTTCCATTGGTTCACCCTCTAAATGGCCGCTACGACCGGCGTGCTGCGCTGATCCGAAGCCAGAAGCCAGTTGCTTCCTCCTGGTCTCCCACGCAGGTGGAGGGCCCAAGGACTTGGGCCATCCTCCACTGTACTCCCTGGCCACAGCAGAGAGCAGGACTGGAAGAGGAGCAACCAGGACAGAATCCGGCACCCCAACCAGGACTAGCACCCGGGGTGCTGGCGCTGCAGGCAGAGGATTAGCCTAGTGAGCCATTGCACCAGCCGACACCTAGTTTTTTCAACAAAGTGCAACATGCCTCCTTGCCATGGCTGGGGCCATCCTTTAAGTCTTTGTAACAGATCCTTGTCTCTTCTACTTCTGCCCAAATTTACTCTGATAGCAGGTAGGCGGAGCCCAGGGGTTGGTGTCAAGAGATGTATTCGACAGTTCTTCGTTTGTGACAAGTTCCTACCCCAACAAGCACCTCAGTTTCCCTTCCTAGCTTGCTAATTGTAGTTCCTAATTGAAGCATTTTTATCCCCATGGAAGGAAAAGTATAGTGTGGTGTTCAGTAATTCAGTCTATTTCCACCCATTCTGGGGGAGGTACATGTGTCCCTTGCCCCTACTCAATCACTTTTGATATTCACCTCTGCCCAGAGTCTCACTAAATTACATATTCAGGCACTTTATCCTAAGAGGATAAGGCAGCTTTAAAAGCTAGGAAGTAATCAGTTTCCAAAGGGATGAGAAGAGAAGAAAATGAGAAAAAAAAAAAAAGGAAAAGGTAGAGATTGCACTGAAGA